GTCCCTGGAACACAGATTACTATGGTTGCATAGGGCCTGTAGATGACAGAACGATGGGCGAAGCTTCCTGGAAGCGCCAAGCTTAGGGCTTTAAGCTTGCACTGCGAGGTACTTGAGGGTTGATCTAAAGGTCCTGAGCAGAAATCATTTAGGGTTCCTGTAGGCTTAGGAGGAGAAACAAGGGAAATTATTTTCCATGATGGCCATTTGGGCACCAGGGATTCCCACATGTGTTCAGAGGAGAACGGTCAGGTGCTTAAGTGTGTAGATGGGCAGATTTGTTTCTGACTTGCCGAATTTGTGCATGTTTCATCTGAGCGATAATCTAAGTAGTACGTATCCCCCTTAATATCCCCTATAGCAGTAGTCCCCCATATAAATGCCTGTATAACCCCTTTAGGGAGTTTAGACTCTGGCTCATCTAGGCTGTGTTTCCGCTCACAGCGCCGGCGCCGGAGCTTTGTCGGAAGCAATTTCAGTGGAGAGTTAACTCACAACTGTATCTATCGGAGTTTCCCAAAATTGCTTTGTGGGGACCCTCTAACAAGAATTATAGGCTTTGGGGGTCTACAATGGGGTCCCCCTATTTATGGAAACTACCATGTGCAATTACCTGAGTAAATATTACCAGTGAATTCTGGAACCCCCTCCCCCTTCAAACGCAGTTTAAAGAGGCTTTTCAAACTGTTCTTTACCCCAGATTGAGCCATGACAAGAAAAAGAACGAGCATGTGTTTAAAAACGATAAAGATTTTCTTAAAACAAGAAGATGTTGGGAGATCCCAATCTAGCCAGTTTTCTTGTAGCGACACATTTTCTATTTAAAAAAGTTTAAGAGTCTGCAAGCTACCCGTGTTTAGGGAAACTACCATGCTGGTCGATATCCAGGCTGAAAAGTCTTGGCCTGCTTGGCTTGTGTGGTGTTTTTCAGACAGGAGGATCTTCCAATTAAGGTGTTGGGTTTACGTCTAAATCAATAGACGCCGAACTGCAAAAGCAGGGGGCCCCAATTCAGTCCCCAATACACAAGAATCTCTACAGCAGATTGGGACACTCAAAAAGGAGCCCCTAATTTCTGAAAACTACCAAATATTCCCCAGACGCTGAACGTCTCAATCACAGAATCTAGTTAGCAACCCTGGGTTGAGCTGAAGCAGCTTGACAACGTGCTTTCCTGTGGTCAGCAGGGAATGCAGGAATGGGAAAGGAAATGGAAACTATCATACCACAGTATTGAGGATCAGATATTGGGACTAGGTTTAGGGTGTAGGTTTACCATAGGCATTCCTTGCTAACCAAAGGTGGGAAGGACTGGGATGCCGGCGGGCTTGTCATCGTACTCGATCTTCGGAACCTTTGATGCCAGGCTGGCTGCGAAGGGAAAAGGTTTTCTCCCTATACCTTACCCTTATATACCTTAGATACCTTTGGATTAGGGTAGATACCCGTAGATGCCCATGTTAACCCTAGAATCTCCCCGCCTAAATACCCCTAAAGCCGCAATCGACCAAGCCTGCCATCAGCATGCTTCTGAAATACCCTTGAACTTACCTTTGGTTAGCTGGGAACGCAGGGATGGAAAAGAAAAAGGAAACCACTACAGGGCTTTGCGTTTAGGGTTTAGGGTGGGAATGAAGGAATGGAAAAGAACATGGAAATTACAAAAATTGGTTATAGAGGGACTACTCTAAGGATCGATTCCTTCATTCCTAGCTACCCAAAGGTAAGTGAACCTTTCGCTTACATTCGTAGCCCACGCTAAGCACGCCGACTACATGGAAGCTGCCGAATGTAGAGCGGCCGCCCCTTCTTGACGGTCCTTTTCGGCTTTGTGGCTTAAGGCCACATTTCACCCACCCTGCAGATCACGCACAAGTTCTGCAAGATGCTACACGACAAACTCTTGCACAAAGTCCTAAACCTCGCAAATTCGAACAACGAAGAACTGTCACGGCTTGCTGCAGACTGCGAAACAAACATGCGCGCAGGTGTTTCAAAATCGGGCGCTTCATGGATCTGACCCACAGGATGTGAAATCTAGTGTTCAGGTCTAGGTTGCGGGATTCTCAAAGCAGGCTCGCGGCGTCTTGAGATAATATCAGCCTGCAATCTAACATTAACCCCCCAATGGCCCTGTAAACACGATTGTCCTACGGAAAGGGTCATGATGAGCATTATTCCCTATTGATTTCTTTGCAAAGCACAACCCTTCCGCCTGCGAGCTTCCGCGGAGCTTCCGCGAAGACTAGTTTCCTCTTGATCGGAACTTCAAATCAGCTTGCTTCCACAGACCCTTCAGCGATGATTTTCCAGGTGCTTTCGCGATGCTTCCGCGAACAACATGTCTAGTCTTACGTTGGTTCTTTCACCGACAGCGACGACTTCCAGAAAGGGCTTCCGCAACAGGCCAGCATCATGCTTCCGCGACACCTTCCGTATGATTGCGCGCCGCAGCAGGGAACACATTTCGGAAAACATCCAATGACTCCTTACCGTATTTAAGTATCCGTAGACAAGCGCAAAACGAACCGACGCTCAGATGATTTCCACGTCAAGTTTGGGTCGGGTTTGAGGTTTATCCGGAATAACGGCCTACCTGAACCTTAAATCCTGAACGCTGCAGCATTAGTTCCCAGAAAATTCAAAATCGCAAGCCGAAACAGACAAAAAATCGCTATGGATTAAGTTAGCCCCCCACCCACCAATGGTGACCATTCGGGATAACAGGGGCCTCGATGGTCTTTTGCAACTTCTGGACCTGCAGACATTGCTAGGATATGGGACTTTCACAAGTCACTCAATTTAAGTTTATACTGCGTTGGGTCCTATGCTAGGGCCCTCTGTGAAATTCCCATATGGTATGAAGCGTATCTTGAGCATGTAGGGAATGCAGGACTCTGAGTCGGCAGGGCATGAGGGAAAGCTGGGTTTGTGGGGCTTAGGGATAAAGATGTTAATTGCATATGACCAGCATTGGTTGTTAAGTGCTTACGGGTTCAGAGATGATAGGACGGCAGAAAACCCCCAAAAGACATTTGCATCCAAAGAAATGAAGTCGAATTTCGACACATACCCATGAAGAGCTTTCGCGCACCCGTCGCCTATGCTGCTGCAAAGTGTCAACACTGTTTGGCATTGCTCGGGATCTCTTATCAACGAGAAACCGTTTTTTTATAGCAACAATACCAATAACAATAATGATAATAATGATCGTAAGAATAGTAACGTGTCTACTCAGGGCGGAATGACAGCTTCGCCTGCGTGCTCTTGGGGAGTAGATATTAGGAGAACCCGTGTGGATTCAGGGCTTGCTGGAGATGATTACTCGCACTGGTAGCTATGCCTGCCACGCATGGAGGAAATCTTGCGTCACACAAACACCCCTAACAAAGCCAACCACAATATGACAGAGGCCCCTGGGGACGTCTCAAACCACAAAGATAAAGGGTTTAGGGGGACCTTGACAATTTTAATCTGTGCCTCAATAGTGAGAGAAAGTTCTGGCGAATCGCCCCATTGTGAGTGCAATTGATATTCAAGCCCTAAACCTTAAACCCTAAACCGCTCTACTGCACTTCAGTCGTCCCTACATCATCTCCACACAATCTAAGCAGCCGCAAATATCTCCTACATCGGGCATACTACCTGAGTCCCCGAAGTATTGTGAATTAAGGTGCCGAAGTACTAGCCGCCAACAACAAAGCTGTTCCTCTACAAAATTTCAGGATATTTTGGGAGGGTTGAGGCAGAAACCATTCAGATCCGCATGCGTAAGAAAGATATGGTAGTTTCTCAAATTAATGGGACCCCAATATAGACCTCAAAATAGCATAACCCTTATTATGGGGACCCTCCAAAAGGTACCCCTGATTTTGGGAAACCCCCATATCCAACCATAAACCCTAAACCCCTAAACCCTAACCACCACTCGACAGGGCCACGCCTCCGGGATGAAGACCGGATTCCTTGCTTCTGCGCGTTTAGGGGACATAAAATGGAAACTACTATATGATATAGGGGCTTATATATGGGCTATATAGGGATAACGGAAAATAACATGGAAACTACTATATGATATAAGGGCTTATTTAGGGGAAATATAGGGGTGATATAAGGATAATGGAAGATAAAATGGATATTACTATTTAAGGTTTAGGGCTAAGGGTTTAGGGTGCAGGGTTTATGGTTTAGGCTTCAGGGCTTCTGGTTTAAGCGTTCTGAGCTTAGGGTGGTTGTAGGTAGCCCTGGGCGGCTATTATGAAAAAGAAAATGGAGGCAACCATATGAGCCGTTGTCTAAACTCCTAGTATCCTTCTTGGGAACTCCTATAGTAGCCCCCTATGTAATCCCTTATATAATCCTCTTTAAGGAGTTTAGACTATAGCTCATATAGCTGTTTTGTTGTCGCCATAATAGGGACTATAGTGTTTTCGGGGTCTATCTTGGGGTCTCCCTATGTTGGAAAGTACCAAATGTTTATGGTACTTTTCATAAGCACTATTAGTTGGGTTGCGAGGCCTTCCAGTGACCGCATGTACTCTGTGCGCTGACAACAAGCCATGAACCCTCCAAGTTGTAGAAACACAAGTCCAAGTGTTTTTTGGGATAATCGGAAGCCAGCAATGGCGTTTATCCAAAGTGGGACCTCGCAACAGCCTCATGTCCAAGAGGGAACAGACTGGGAAGAACGTAGACCTGGAGGAGAACTCAAGGTCCAGGCTTGTTTCGGTTCACCGTCGAATGTGGCTTTGGGCTACAGCATGGCACAAGAATATGAAGTAATCTTGCTGGAAATTACTTGCGCTTTTTGTGCTTCTCCAGGCCTGACAGCACTCAAAAAAGGAGAAATTGAGCCCGTCAACCTTAAAACAAACAACCGGAAGGTACAGCGCACAACTCCTCGTTCCGTGCACGTGACTTTGGGAGACTAATTTGAAATTATGATAGAAACTTCTCGAAATTAGCGCCCCTCGCCTCCCTGAACCTTGGGAGCAAGGAGCTGAAACGGCACATCCACGAAGCGATCCACGTACTCGATGTCGGGGACCTTGCCAAAGAAGAAATCTGCAGAAAATGGCTCTAAGATCTGCATCTCACTTGCCTTTGGTTAGCTGGGAAATGATGCAAAGGAAATGGAAACTACTATAATGGGCTATCTAGTTTTAGGATCGGAAGAGAAAACTGAAACTACTATAATGGATTGCATAGGGACTACTGTAAGGATCCATTCCTTCATTCCTAGCGAACCGAAGGTAAGCTTAAAGCTCAACCTGCAGCACACCTCTCCGGACCAAATTGCTGCAAGCAAGTTAGTATATCATAGTAGTTTCCATTTTCTTTTCCATTCCTTCGAAACCCTAAATCCTAAAACCAGATAGCCCATTATAGTAGTTTCCATTTTCTTTTCCCGTATCCCGACATAACTCCTATTACCCCAGTGGGGTGTGTGCTGTCTCGAACCCAAACCTTGCATCGCTAGGATAATATTATATAACATGCTAATATATGAAAGTCCATTGTAGCATATTATAATATGTTGTAGTATATTGGCCCTAAACCCTAAACCCCATGATAGTAGCTTCCATTTTCTTTTCCATTATCCCAACATATCCCCTTTGTAGCCCCCATATCTCCTTTAAGGGTACTCTGCGATAGTTGGGATCTTGAAGAGCCGAAATGCTTGAGCTGGCTTTGTTAAGCAGAGGGAACTGCTGGGTTGGCCCCTAAACCCCCCTTTGAAAAATATCAGTATATAGGGTCCCTTATTAAAGCCATTAGGGAAAATAACCCTAAACTCTTAACCCTTAACCCTAAACCCTAAACCCCTAAACCCTTAAAGCCATTAGGGAAAATATTAAATATCCCAAGGGCCTACCCAGACAGTCATGGAAGATGTGGAAGCGAAAGGTTTGGCAGAGTCGGACTAAGGGAGGGCATGGGCTCATTAGGGTTTAGAATTTAGGGTTTAGGATTTAGGATTTAGGGTTTAGGGTTTAGGATGCAGGGTTTAGGGTTTCGCCCCAAGAACGCGCAAACTGGGACTTTAAGCCTGCTTCCTAAAGCAATTTGGCACTACACCCTAACCCAGAAAAATTCACAAATCTACCCCAGGCCCATTGAGCCTCAACGCTGCGCTCAACGGGCACCGGCACGGGAACCTTGGGAGGTCTTATAACTTGTAATACCATTAATAATAATACTATGATAATAAACAAAAGATTATCATAATGATGTAACTTATAAAACTACAATGAGAATGTTACGAATATTCTTAGTAAAAAATGATAGTGCCATAATGAGAACTTTCAAGGTTTGGCCTTTGGGCGCTGCAGGTTCGAGGGTGAGGGGTTAGGGTTCAGGTTCCAGGGTATGTCACGGCTAGGCCCTTTCTGAAGGTAGGTATCATATATAAGCTATAGTCTAAACTCCTAGTCACCCCCCATACTACTCCCCTATAGAATCCCCTAAACCCTAAACCCCCGTTAAGGAGTTTTGAACTGTAGCATTCATGGCGCAGGGACCACACCAGAATTCTGCAGAGCATACAGGCCTTCATTGTGTGTATCCAGACCGTCCTTCGCCTTTCAATGCATAGAACCGCAGCATCCCGCCGGGTGAGGGAGAGGGTTTAGGGTTTATGGTTTAGGGGTTTAGGGTTGAGGGTTCAGGGTAAAGGATTTCGGGTTAGGGCTTAGGGTAGTTTAGGGTTTAGAGTTGAATGTTTAGGGTTCTATACATGGGTTGTACACAGCTACGCAGCTACACACGCGAAAAGCCCAACTATGCCCCTCACCTGGCGCGGGCTTCCCAACTTTTGGGTCTGTATAGGGGTTAGATGGGGTTATATAAGGGCTATATAGGGGTTATATAGGGATTATATAGGGGTTATGTAAGTTATATGGGGTTATATACTGGTTATATTGGGGTTATAAAATATTGGGTCTGTTCAGGGTTTAGAACTTTGTGAGATGGAAGAAGAAGTGGTATGACCCTCAGGGTCTAAGGGTCATGGGAGTGGAAGAGTTTTGGGGTGCGTGGCGGGCTTTTCAAAACTCCTCTGTGACATCCCGCATGCGGCTAAACCGCTCTATGCTCCAGTGTCCATTTCATTCCCCATGGGCTTTTCCATCTGTTTCTGCATTATTGGGGAGATAAAGGTACTATATACCTTAAACCCCATATGATCCCGACATGAGCACTAAGCCCTAAACCCTAAACCCTAACCCTCTATTCTATCTACTTAAGGGGGACTATATCCCCTACCTATTTATTGCTAATTACTTAAGCCCCTAACGTATGCAAAACGTCTTCACTGGCCAAGCCAATCAGCAGCCCTTGTGGTTTTAGGGTTGAGGGTTTTACGGTTGAAGATTTAGGATTTAGGGTTTTAGGGTTGAGGATTAATTATTGGGAGTCAGAAGCCCATTGGGGTAATATTAGGGTTATATTGGGGTTAATTTGGGATAACGGAAAATTAACATGGAAACTACTAGGATGCGGTTATATAGGGTTTAGGATATAGGGCTTAGGGTTCAGGGTTTAGGGGTGGTTTCCGACAACCTGGGAGCGACGCGTGACGATGCCGCTGCACCGGAAGCTGCGGCCAAGGCAGAATGATGTGGGGTTTGATCTACAGGCCGCAAACAATTATGGAGCCTCTGGGTCTGTAAGGTAAATGTAGGAGAACTTCTTTTCAACAATGGCCATTTTGAGTCTAAGACTTCGAATCAACTACTATGTATCAAAAGTTGGGTCGCCTGTCCATTTTGATACAGGGCTAAGGTTTTAGGGCTTCGTAGCAAAAAGACAGGACAAGGACCTTTCTCATGAGTACCGAGTTAGGCATACTCCAACAGCTACAACTGCTAAGCCTGTTGCAAGTATCACCTCACCGGCAACTCCCGTCTCAGTACGCTGCTGCTGCTAATAGTGCTGCTGCAGCAACCCGTAAGATTGCTAATTATGGATTTTGAATAGCCAACTTCTGCCAAATCCTCTGCAGCTGAAGCGTTGCTTCCAGACAGAAGCCGCGATATGAGTCAAAGATCTGGTCTTATTGTTGCAAGTCCTTAGTCCCCATCGTTTCCTTTGTCTGTGACAGCAACATCACCCTGGCCGCAAAATGACTGAAGCATGGAGGAACAACAATGATGGCAATGATGAACATATTGCACCTGTGACAAGCAGACCCAGCAATGTAACAGCACCACTCACTCAATATAACCACTACTGAATTCCGGTCAATCTGTGAAATGTCCTGATTTCCCACCTCCACAGGCTCATCGACATACTCGATCTGCGGCACCTCCACGGTCCTTCAGTTGCTACGATGTCCGCATCTTATACACCACAGTGCGTATTCTGCTCACAAACATCATACGACTACTGCTGCTACTACTGCTGTTGCTACTACGACGACTACTACTGCTACTACTCCTACTCCTACTCCTTCGCCTACTCCTACTCCTTCTCCTTACTACTTTCCTACTCCTACTTCTACCACTACCACTACCACTACCTCTACTACTACTACTACTACTACTCCTCCTCCTTCTACTACTACTACGTGTTCCGTACCTATCTGACACCAATTTTTTCTGTATATTTCTCAAGAGCG